GCTAGTAACACACAAAAATTATCCTGGTTCCTCTCCTTAACTGAGAGTAGTGTAGTCATCTTGCCTCAACAAAAGATTCTCAGTATAACCAAACAGATTACAATCGCTCAAGCACACTTGCGAGAGACTTCAATGCTCAATCAAACTTGAAAGAGACCTATGCTTAAGCAACCCTGCTAGAGACTTCCTGCTCAATCGACCTAATACGAGACTTCCTTTTACTCAATTATACTGACAAGAGACTTCACTACCCAAGCACGCAGGCAAGAGACTTCCTTTACTTTAAGCAAATAGTTTAGTAGAAAAGGTAACTACTGTACTTTGATACACAATCATAAGTATAATAGTTATGCAATAATCACAAAGGTTTTCAACCTTTTTAAGATTTCTAAGATAATTTAAAATAAGAAATCTTAAGATCTTATGCTATAATAGTTACAATTATAGCTCAGAGTTATGCCAAGATCTTTCAATACGTTATGATATTTGTCATTCCTCTGAGTCTTCAACTTCCTTTTATAGACGTGGAGAAAAAGTCATTGATGGTTCAACAACAAACTTAGTAACAAGGACACCAAAAGAGATGTTAGAGAGTTGTATCCAATCAGAAGTATTATCCACTGAATAAAAGCAATGTCCGCAACACTTTTTGAATAACTAGGTATATACCAAAAGGTAGTACTGACTAAAGAGGTCACAACACCATCATTGAGCCTTGCAAAACCAAACCCTAGTTGACTATGTCCATAAATCCGTCGCTTTGATAAGACTGGTCAACTTTGGTGCAGAGTATGGATCAGATGCTCCTTAAGCCTTTAGGATTTGAGCTGTCACCAGAGGCTGAAACAGCATACCAGAGTCTGAACCTATAGATGTTGATGAACATATTCAGATTATGATCATCCATAATTTGAGGAGTATTGCTTCTTCACTTATGCTTTCAACATGATTAATTTATGATGAATTCTTAGCTTATGATCCTGCACACTTGATCATATATTAGTATACCCATTTGTTCTTTAAATACTTTGTTATCATCAAAACTCAAGAAGTATAAACAATCTTGTTCTAACAATCTCCCTCTTTTGATGATGAAAAACAAATGTATTTAAGAACAATGGTTGGTCAGTTTTAACTAACTTGATAACATTAGAGTCAGAGGTATATAAGCACCCCCCGAGTTTAATAGTCCATAGGTTGAGGTTTGTAAGCTCCCCTTGAGTTCTATCCAAGTTAATTTAAACTTATTTCGATAAAAATAATATGTTCAAAAAGCATTACCAAAAATGAATAATTAGGGTTTAGGTAAATTAAAAGCATTAAAAAAAAACTTTTAACCTTCTTAAATATTTCCATGAATTTTCTCCCCTTTTTGTCATCAACAAAAAGTGAGTTTAAACATGTCAGCATAGAAAAAGACAAAAGTATTTAATAATACAAACCAATACATGGGAAGATTAAATCTAGTAAAAACATAGTATAACAACTTTTGCTCTTTCAAATATAGAGAAAAGACTAAGAATGGTTTAGCTATTTTTGCATTTGGTTTACAAGTAAATATCAATCAACCTTAACTCTCACTCAATAACCTGAGAGAGCAACCTATTTATAGACTACAAGATAACTTAAAACCTAAACTAACTTAAACACTAAGTCAACTTAACCAACAAGCTAACTTAAAAAACTGCATGGTAGAATAAGTTTCGACTATAGTATGCATATCTTCAACTCATGCATACTTGAACAGACTTCGACTACAACATGCACAACTTCGACTCTTGCATGCTTGAACAGACCTCTACTACAATGCGCACAACTTTTGCTGAAACATAAAGCTATCCCTATCAAAGTTTAAGTTCAATCCAAAATACCACATACAAAGTCTTGCACTGAGACCATTGAATGAACGTTAAAATTAGATTGTAAAGATTTATAAGAGTTCCAATGTATTCAAACAAGAGTAATGGCAAAGGTATGTCTCTAAATTCAACTTTATTCAAGTTTTTCTTTGTAGAATTTTGTTTTAAATTATTGTTAAGTTCTAACATCATCATTATTTTATTATTCATGACATATTTTTTATTAACTAAAGTTATGATACCCTCATTATTATTAAGTCTATCTTTAAAATAAATTAAAAATAAATTATTTAAAAGAATACTTTACTAGATGCGATGTCTTTTATTAGGTTCGAAGTAAGGGTATTTATAGGTACGGGTCAATCCGCGAATCTATTCATCCAACCTAATTCAAATCTTAATTTTATTCAACCCAATCATGTATGAGTTCAACCCAAACTAACTCATTCAAACCCATTAGTATTTGATTCGGGTAACATGTTTGAAGTTTTAAATCCACGAACACACGAACCCAACCCATTGATATGTCGCACTATTTTTATTTAATTTAATTTATAAATTATGTAGTATAATTCTTACAATTCACACACACACACACACACACACACACACACACACACACACACACACACACACACACACACACACACACACACACACACACACATATATATATAATATAATTATAGTTTTTATTAATTGTAAAAGTTTAAGTCTAAATCCAATTTGAGAGATCAATAGCCCGACACACGATATTCCACAAAGTAAAATTAGAGATATCTAAATCTATATTAGCCAATTTATCAACACTGTGGTTACCTTCCCTGTATACATGAGATGCCAAAAAATTACAACTACCTAGAGTAATCGTACAATTGTCGCATCTATTTCTGATTTTTCAAGGCACAACAAATGATTTACTGAACACCAACACAACTAAATTTGAGTCTGATTCTAACTAAAGATTTGTCCAGCCATGAACATATACAAGTTCAATTGCCAAAATAGCTCCCATAAGCTCAGCAAAAAGTGTGTCAACAGAACCTAAGTTACAAGCAAAACTACCTACATGATTCTCCAAGTGATCTATAAATATCCCCCTACATGCCGCTTTAATTGGAACTCTGCCAAACGCTCCATCCACATTGACTTTAATCCACGCACTAGAAGGAGGGCTCCAAATGACTTCCAAACAATTCTTGTGATTAGAATGATTATTGAAAAACTTTTTCAAAATTTGAAAATCACTAATGTCCATTGATGATGACCCCTTGAAAGAATTTTCAGCCAGCTGAGAAGTAGCATATATAAGCGAGCAAGTAGTTCTCTAGGAAATAAACTTGTTTTGAAATCGGGCTTGATTTTGAGCACACCAAATGTCGTTGACCACAACAATAATAGAAGCATGGTATACCATCATACATTGCGCAACACTAGACCTGGACATTGCAAGGAAACAATCTTGCAAATCAGAGATACTATAATTAATGTTAATCATATAACACAATCAGTTTCAAATCCTCCGAGAATATACACAATGGAAGAAAAGATGAGAAATATTTTCTTCACTATGGAAACAAAGATTGCAAATTGAAGGATCTGACATTTCACTAATCCGAAGAACGTCGTCAGTTGGAACACGATTCTTCGTAACTCTCCAAAAAAGAATAGAATGAGATGGAGGAACATTTGGGTGCCAGATCAGATTACCCCAAACACTACCAGTACCACCATTTTTACGGTGAGTATATGCATCTTTGACATTGATTTCGCCGTTTTCAATTTTAGTCCAAACAAGTCTATCTTCATTCAAACAATTCACATAAATATTAGAGACTAAATGAGGAAGATCAGGACAGAGATGAATCATACCTGAAGGCAAGTTGAAAGAATTACCGCGCAAAATGGAACTCAAATCTGCCTTTAGCAGCGACCGCTGAACATCAGGAATCTAAAGCGTAGAACCAAGGGCCTGCCACATCAATTATCACGCCATAAATTGATTTTATTGTCCTTACAATATTCCACAGAATTTCACATTAAGTCTTCAAAAGCCTCTTTACAACCTGTCCAAACAGAAGAGAAAACATGCGATTTACGCAACATAACCCAAGTGTCGACCTCATTCATAATACACAACAATAAACCAAACAGTTAGCTTCATTTGTTACACGGAGGGAACGAATATCCAAACCCTCATTGTTAAGGTCTTGACAGCAAGATTTCCAAGCCACCGTAATCATCTTCCTTTTCTTAATGTCACCACTCCATATAAAATTACAACACCAAGTTTCAATTTGATTAATTAAACTAACCGCCCAAGAGTAAATACGAAAAGTGTAGAATAAGATATTGTGAATAAAGTTAATTAATTGGACTCTTCCGACTATTGATAACAAGCTAGCCTTCTAAACAACCAATTTAATGCGAACTTTATCAACAACCGGCTGAAAATAGGAGGCTTTAGGTGAAAATTCTAATTTTTTTAAGATATTTATAATTAAAACATAAATTTAAAGTATTACAAATAATTACGTCAACTATTTTTAACTTAATGATTAACCTATGCTAAATCTTCTTTTTAATTTACCAACATTGTCAAATAATAAAAAAAACATATACTTTTTCTTTTTTGCATAAATGTCTCTTTTATTTTAGTTTCAATTCACATTTAATAATAAAAAAGTTAGAAAATATCAACTTGTTTTTTTGGTAAAAATTATCAACGGTTTTAATCACATTTTAATAATAACGAAAAGAAATAGAGATCTTATTAAAAGTATTTTAGTTCAACGATTTACATCTAAATTATTAATAATTTTTGACATTTAGTTATAAACCTTTTTAAGATATATACTTTTTTTTTTATAGTTAAGAAATTTGCAAAGTAATTAACCATAAATAAATTGCATTCCTTCTATTGCAAAACTAGTTTGGTTTTAAATTAAAAGTCTTGGACCAAATTTACTCCTATTTTAAGAATATGTCAAATTTAAAGGGAAGGATATACATGAGATTTGACATTATTTTCTTATATTATAGATTAGAATATGCTTCCTTACATTCATTTGGTTTTTTTTGTACTATATAGAGTCACTATCATAGGTTCATAGTCATCATTACCCCCAAGGAACTAATGAGATGGAAATCAAAGAGGATGTTGAGGGTGGTAAGCAGAGAGGAATAAGAGAACCATTGATAGGGGAAAACAACAACAAACTTCTTCATGAAACCAAAGATCATCATCCATGGATGGTTTACTTCACCACATTCATTGCAGTCTGTGGTTCTTATGAATTTGGTGCTTGTGTAAGTCTTTACTTCCCTCACCACTTCTATAGTTGAAATTCAGCAAAGATAAACACCTTTTTATATAGCTTCAAGATGCTTGCTAGTTTAGTTGACTAAGAGTTTTATAGAATAATTGTTATTTTTGTTTTATTTTTCAGGTTGGATATTCATCTCCAACTCAAGAAGCTATCACGAAGGATCTTAATCTGTCTTTGGAAGAGGTTAGCCAGAAATTATTCAAAATTTGATTTGACTTTATTATCCTTAGATTTAATGAAAGCATAGGAAATGAACTGAAAATTATTAATAATATTCTAAAACTGTTTTAAATAAACATTGTTGGCGCATTTTTTTAGATGCAAACTCGTGATTACTGTGAAATAAAAAAGTTTGTATAACTTCTACTTAGTGGATTTGATGTTGTTTTCTATGGTTTTTGCTGATTGAATGAATGTAGTACTCCTTGTTTGGCTCCATCTTGACTTTTGGTGCGATGATTGGCGCAATAACAAGTGGTCCTATTGCTGATTTTGTTGGAAGAAAGGGGGTAATTTCAGTAAAATGATAATGGTTGTTTTGGAATTAACTTCCAAATTGTTATTCATCTTTACTATTTGGATTTTGGATTATTCATGAAAAGTTGGTTTTGGAATATATACGCAGGCAATGAGAGTATCAAGTGCTTTCTGTATTGTAGGATGGCTTGTTATTTATTTTTCAAAGGTTCTTACTACAAAACTTATGTGATTCTTTTTGTCATAACTGTTCTCCAAGGATTAACTGAGTAGCTTTTTTCTTGTTCTGTTATATATATATTTAGGGTCCAGTTCCTTTGGATATTGGGAGACTAGCAACAGGATATGGAATGGGAGTTTTTTCTTATGTGGTTGGTCATATTTCTAGTTTTTCAATGAAATGATTCTCAAAAATCAATTTTATAACACTTGCATATGTTCAAGTTATTGAAGTGTGAATTTATATTTGATGTATTATATATATAAGGTTCCCGTCTTCATAGCAGAAATTGCGCCAAAAGAACGCCGAGGAGTCTTGACTACCTTAAATCAGGCATAGTTTTGCTGCATATTGTAACTTCATGGTCAAGTATTTGCAATGAAGGTAGCATTGACGTATAAGTTTGTTTTTCATCTTCTTTTGTAGTTCATGATTGTTATTGGGGGATCCTCGTCATTCATATTTGGAACAATACTTTCATGGAGGACTTTATCTATAATCGGTCAGTCATAAACTTAGAACATTATACATTAATTGAAACTTTTCAATACTAGATAAGTGTTTGCAATTGCAGGCCTTATTCCAACCGCCGTGTTGCTTTTGGGTCTATTCTTCATTCCAGAGTCCCCTAGATGGCTGGTAAGTAACAAATTTTCATATAAAGTGATTAGCACATCATGAGGAGTGCCAAGTACCGACCAATTAATGACTGCAGGCAAAGAGAGGACACACGAAAGATTTTGTGGCGGCATTGCAAATACTTCGCGGTAAAGATGCTGATATATCTCAAGAAGCAAAGGAAATTCAGGTTACTGTGTGTTGGTGTTGGATATATTTCTGTGATGCACAATGTTAAAGACAAAGCATTCCAAGTATAATGCAATTTTAAGCTGGTGCATCTGTCACTGCCACACAGGATTATATAACTAGCTTAGAACAGCTCGCAAAACCGAAAGTTCTGGATTTGTTTCAAAAAAGATATTTACGCTCACTCACGGTAGGTAACAATAATTCCACTTTTGAAATCAATATGTGTGTGGATAGTTTATTTTTCAATCCAATCATGTGCAAAGTAAAGACGTATAGATAACTAATTCTGATGTATGACCAGATTGGAGTAGGGCTTATGGTCTGCCAGCAATTTGGTGGAATCAATGGAGTTGGTTTTTACGCTAGCAGTATTTTCGACCTAGCAGGTTCTAATACTTACTTCTCTAATCGCAACTCTTCATTCAAAGTCTGACATTTGCATACAACCTATAATTCCCAATGAAACCATGTTTTAAAACTTAACTTCGTGAAGAACGCAGATTTTTATTTTGTTCTGGTGTATTTGTGTACTTTAATTTTGTTGTAGGATTTCCTTCCGCGACCGGTAGTATACTTTTTGCTACCCTTCAGGTTCTTATTTCTAACTTATCCAATAATTCATGAAAAATCAATTTTTTCACCCTTCAAATTCATACCAACTTAATTCTGTTTTTTAATTTCGCAGATTGTGATCACAGGTGTTGGAGCAGCCCTCATAGATAAAGCAGGCAGGAAGCCGCTACTATTGGTAAGTTTAACGAGCAAAATAACTTATCTTCAACCTTTTGTTTGCTTATCCTCTTCATGTATGATATTGTTATTGTTATTTCTTTGTTTCAATTAGGCATCTGGATCAGGACTGGTTACCGGAAGTATATTTACCGCAGTTGCATTCTATCTTAAGGTACATCCCGACTAAGAATATTACAGCTTCAAGTTTTTAATCCCGATACTTATGTAAAATTGATATAGGCTCATGATGTGGGTGTGGGAGCAGTTCCAGCTCTTGCTCTAGCTGGTTTACTGGTATGGCTGCTACTCTTTCTCTACTGATGTTTTTTCTATACATCTCAAAAATATGAACTCATTCTCCATGCGATATTTAATCTTTCTATAATATTAGGTCTACATAGGATCATTTTCAATAGGAATGGGAGCAGTTCCATGGGTTCTGATGTCCGAGGTACACCCCGATTCCTTCGAATTCGTCAGTTATAAAACATGTCTGGTATATCATAACATTTATGATTTTACTCAGCAAAAAGATGGTACAAATTTTGCTGAAATATTACCTTGTGTTGCAGATATTTCCTGTTAATATTAAAGGACAAGCAGGAAGCATAGCCACATTGGTGAACTGGTTTGGTGCATGGCTATGCTCTTATACTTTCAACTTTCTCATGAGTTGGAGCACCTATGGTAAATACATTGTTTTCAGCTTTATTTCATTTAAAAGGAGTACTGATAAGCATTATCATATGATAATCATTTTCGCGATTTATTTTACGAAACCTATAGAACATGTATGTTTACTTTGTAATTATGATTTCCAGGTACCTTCATTCTTTATGCTGCAATCAATGCATTAGCTATATTGTTTATAGTTGTAGTAGTTCCAGAAACAAAAGGTAAAAGCCTTGAACAATTACAGGCGGCCATTAACGCGTAACAAGTTTGCGATTTGCAGTGTTTTGTGGAACAACGAAGGATGTGAGTTGGTGATTGAATAATTAGCCTTATTTTTTTACCGTCTGTTTGGTTCTATATTTGATGATTAAAATTTACTATTGTACGTTGGTTTTATAGATGTCATTGATTCATGAAATGTACTCCAAAACATCCTATAAAACTCCTATTATATTTGAAAATATACCACCCAAATTTATTAAAATGATCTGGTTTGAAAATAATCTGCCAGTAAAATTCAATCACATGAACAAATGTAGAATGCTTTTTTCCTCTAACTGCAGTTCAATAAAGCAACTCATGTATATTGAAACAACTCGAATTTCAATTGTAAGACATTTTATTATTGAAAAAAGCAACAAAGCTCATTCTGAACATGTTTAAAAATGTGACAGATTGACGTTGAGGTATTGCTGGACATTCAATCCATTCACTATACATTCTTAGTCATCCATTGATATTGTAACAAAAGCTAGAGTTTCACAACTTCATTATTCCTTATAATCTTTGGTGGCTTATATTGACTAGCAGATGTTCCATTCTTAATTGCCAAATCTGATAACTTCTCAAAAGCTCCATGCCTTAGGATCATTATCACTAACTTCCCTAAATCACCTTTCTCCTTCTGCATCTTGTACAATGCTCCCAAACCATTCTCAAGACATGAAATACAACTTTTGGCAATCGGTTCCTGATACAAGAAACTTGCAAACTCAATAATCTCAACCGAGTCTTTTCCCATAGCTTCTCTAAGTGCAAGTTGAAAATTCTCAACTGCTGAAATCAAGTCTTTCTCAGTTATAATCTCAGCGGAAGACTTAGGTGCCCTCATCACAAATTCCACTAGAGGTGATGAATTATAGAAACCAACAACTCTAACTATATCGCCTGATTTGTATCGATAAAATCCTCGGTAAGTAGTAACAACCACTTCATACATCTTCCCGGCCTCAACGCTGCAAAGGTCTACCGTTTGTTCTCTGACGACAGCTTCATCATTACCATTCATCTCAAATGGAAGAAACTCAAAGTATGCAAAAGTAGGAAGTATAATGAACCGTGTTGTTTCCCGTGGTTGTGGTAAGTCTAAATTTAAACCTGCACAACACTCAGAAGCAAAGTAATCTCCTCCTAGAATTGGCACATCTCCGGCATAAAACTTAAGTTTTTGATAGTACTGCATCATGCTTCCCGTTGTAGCGCACTTGATAGAATGTTCGGAGACAATCTACCTACAATCCCACCCCACTTATTATCTGCGCAAACTAATCTTACTATAGTTGACAATTCATGTTGATTATACCTCTCATTTCCAAATCAGAAATTTCATGACATGGATAACCACAATCAAGATCATGACATAGCTGCTCCCACTTGGACTCCAAAAAACCAAATGCTTTAATCAAACCAATGGCATAAGGAGTACTAATTCCATCTATAACATCAATATTTCTAAGGCCGCATAAAAGATGACAATACATTTGATGATCAACATTAGATCCAAGCATGACTTGTAAGGGACTAGAGAACCTGGAAAGTTGTGTAGAAGATACTTTACCACTTTGTAAAGGGTATGAAGAGGCTGCCATAACCTTTAAGCCACCTTTTGTCGTAGTAGTAACTTTGTCGGCATAGAGAAACAACAGGATCTTGTTGATATTTGGCCTTGGAGGAAATTGGCTGCATGATGAAGTTTTCAAATATAAACTCATTGTTAAACAACAAACATAAAATCTAAATTTTTTAGCATGATTTACCTGTGAAGAACAGCAATACTCCCTGTGTGAGCAATACAAGATGCTTATTTTGAAAGTGTTGAATCAAAGTAAGGGATGAGTTTTGGTTTCACGGACGTGGTTCCAGAGCTGAGAAAGAAAAAGTCAGAGTCATGTACAAGTGAGTAATACACTGAAATGAAGAGAGTTAAAAGGTGAGTATATAATATACCTGTAGAAGAAACAAAGAAGAGGATCAACAGAGAGAAGAGGGTGATGATTTGTAGGATGATGATCAGCCATTTGTTGAATAAAGTGAAGGTAATCTTCATAGGAAGAGAGTGGAACAAGAGTTGTGAAAGTGGAAGGTTCAAGATGAGTATTGTTGTTATTGGAGAAAAATTGAAGATGAATTGTGAAGAAGAATTGAGCCAAGAGTCTCCAACTGGTGATGGTTTGTGTTCATGGTTAAATCTTGTATCTTCTCTATCAGTTCTGAGTCTGTCATCATCTAAAGGAAGAAAGATAGATTCATTGCATTTTGGGTTTCCATTGCAGCTGGTTGTCACATATGTCAATGATTCAATACAATGAATTTTTTTAATTTTCAACATTGGTTTTCACTTTTGGTAGACTTTAATTGATGGAGTTGCTTTGCTTGCACCTATATCTACACAATATTTGAGATTGTTATTAAAAGTTTTGAAAACGCCTAAAATATAATGTCAACCATTTAATAAAAGGTCTAAAAGAATATATACCAATGATAATTGATATATGCTGTTAAAGTTCTGAAAAGGACATTGTTGTTAAAGTTCTAAATAAAAATGTCTTAAAACACATCAAATATAATGTCAAACCATTTACTACTCCCTCACTCTATTACAAAATGTCCTATTTAACCAAAATACCCTATTGTTAAATTAGATGAGTTGCTTTTAATTGATAAAATTAATATTATTTATTAGAATATTCTTATTAATTGTAATTAATAGAGTAGTTGAATAAAGTGAAAATTAATAAATAAGAGTATAGTAGTGAAAAAATAATAATAAATATTGTATTGATATTGTAACAGTATAACAATGTAGTTAATAAATAGTAGTGAAGAAAATGTATGATATCTAAGAGCATCTTTAGTGAGAGTATCTTAAGTGAGTAAACTAAGATATTTTTTGTGGGCCCAAAGTAATTTTTAGGATTTAAAAAATTTATAGTTGCTTATAAAAAACTAAAACTTCCCTATATTTTATATTTTTTAATTGTAATTTTTTTTTGAAGTTACCATTAATTTAATTATTTTAAATAAAATACATAAAATATTCATTGCAAATTTTTTGTGGACCCAAATTATATAGCATACTTTAGCTATATAATTGCCGAAAACTAAAAGTTAGTGAATTAAATGTCATGTCATAGTCATTCCAATGCAAATTCTTTATAATGATCGTTAACTATAAAAAATTTAACTATTAAAAACCTGCATTAAAGATGCTCTAAGCCAAGAAGATTAACACCTTGATCACGCTTTTGATCACGTGAGTGAGCCTTTATGTAGTTATTGTCTTTGCTTATTATTTGGTAACTCAAGATTTTTTTTATCTGATCGATTGTTATTGTTCTTATTTATTTTCTATGCAAATTACACACCATGGAAAGAGGCGGAGGTCTAAGCTGATGCAATAGCGTATTCTGAACTCATCAAGTGTTGTTTGGCTCATAAAGCTCTTAAGGAGGGCAAACACGTTCATCATCCTATATTCTCAAATGGGTATCAACCAAAAACGTTCTTGATCAATAATCTTCTTTATATGTATGTCAAATTCAACCTTTTTGTAAAAAACACACACTGTTTGATAAAATGCCTGATAGAAATGTTGATAATATGTATACTTTTTCATCTGTTTTGAGAGGTTGTGAGAGGTTATGTGATACTAAAATAGGATTGAAGTCTGATGTGTTTGTAACTTGTATTCATCGACTATTAATACGGGAAGCTTATTTGTGTGTGTCGCAATTGCGAAAAATAACCGGCAGAAAACAAAGTCACCACCGAACGTTATTTATTCCGACAGGGGAAAGAAAACGATCGAAAAAACCTCAAAAGGGAAAAGACATGGTCTCGCAACCATATCTTGGGTTCGGGAGTCGATTACGCAAGAGAAAGGTATTAGTACCCCATCGCGTCCGTTGTACTCAACGAGATCCACTCTTGTTTTTCTAATCAAAAGGTGTGTTTATCTAAAACCTACTTGCTAAGAGAAACGAAAACAAAAAAACAAAAGGAGACTCAATAGGACTTTGTCGTCCTAAGGCTACATATTCCCTCGTACAATGGGAAAGTCAGAGTCAATATAGTTCGGAGGACTACCGGTGAAAGAGGAAAAGTTGCTCGCTAAGACTTCATCGTCTTGTGTCTACGTATCCTCATCTGGACGAGAATGAGGAAATCAGAGCGTTCGTAGTTCGTGAGTACAACCACAAGTTGGTTAAGTATCTTTTATGAGCGATGTTGAGTTCGCGTTCCAGCAGTTAGGGTCGATGCTTGTTTGCGGTAGAACGGAAAATAACATGCCCTTTTTGAAAAAAGATTAACATAGGTTCCTGAAGGATAAAATGATTTGCAGTTTGTTCAAGAGTTTTAATAGAAGTGGATTGGTTTTGTTTGAGATTCGTATTGCACTAAAATCTATGACATATGAGCGAATGATTTCTAAAATCGCCCATAAACGGGACGTATGCTAATCACTCTAGAAGAAGTAAGGAGAGACTCCCCACTCATCATTTCCCATGTACTTAAGGTTCGTGGTGCACAATACTCATCGTATTTATTAAATGTGTTGATTTTGTTTTGAGAAAGAAAAAAAAGAAGACTCAAAGGGCAAAGAGAAAATCTAAGGGAAACTCACTTAGATGTTGTCATGCAATATATCCCTATAGTTAAGGATAGGAAAGAAAAGTCTACCTAATGTTATCATACAAAAATGGACCTAAGGTTGAGGTCAAAGGGACTACCCTAATATTGTCATGCAAAGGATTGAGAGCCTAATGTTTATCCTACTTCAAACTTAATCAGAAATTAAGTTGGACTAGGGGCCCTAAGGGAACATGTGATCAAGCACAAGTAAACATTATACAACTCAATCTCAAATAACAAATAGGAATCCAAAACTCAAAAAAGAAGAAAAGAGATGAAGAGAAGAAGGATGTCAAAGCAACACAAGGTGAGAAGAATCAACCAACAATTCTTAAGTGTCAAACATCAAGG